GCCGTCACCCGCTCCTCAGGTGGGCTCAGCACCAGCCGCTGTGCACAGACATCTCCCCCCGCCTCGTACCTTGCTGAGCTCCTTCTGGTACTGCGGCATCTTCTTCAGCATCTGGGACAGGTCTCTCATAGTGGTCTGCGAGGGAAGGGGACATGGTCACTCACCCTCAGGGACTTAGGGACCATGAGCAGGGAGGGGATGACCCTGCCAAGGACTCCTGTCCCCACGCAAGCCCCTCATGGGGCTTTGGTGATGCCTGCCGTGGCATTGCTTGGTCTCTGCTGTGGCTGAGGGGCAGGGAGGGGGTCTGCAGCTCTGCAAACGGGAATGCCAGGAGGGGGAAAAACCCCCAGGACTTTCCTACGGGACCCCCATGCGCTTGGCTGAGGCTGAGATGGTGCTTTCAGCTTCTGGCCGTTGTTATGTCCTATTTCCACCTCACTGCCACCAACTCGGGGTCTCGGGAAGGGAACAGGCCGGGGGCAGAGGCAGCCATCGCGGCACGGTGTTCTCCCAAGGCACCCTGTTTCCCCAGGCACAGGGCCAGCACCCCACAGTCACCACCCCCTGTCAGGGACCTGAGCACCCTCGCACAGTCCCCCATCGGGGGTCCCCAGGAGAATCTGCCATGTGCCAGCCCCCCGGGTGCCCCTCCCCAGCTTGGTGGGCGCAGTCAGGTCACCTTATCGCCTGTGTTCATCCTCTTGCTAGAAGAAAACTCCTTCAGGGACCGGGTCACCTCCCTGGGGAGAGGAGGGGGGCACAGCCATCAGCGGGGAGGGGACCCCAGCAGCAGGGTGGTGGCAATGCCGAGCTGACATCCCACCCAGCTGGCAAACCGCCCGCAGGGACACTCACTGGGACACCTCGGCGATGTGTTTGTGGCGCAAGGTGACCCACAGGTCGTCGTCCTCGTCCAGGAGAACCTCCTTGATCCGGGCTTCCCCAATGCCACTCGTCTCATACCTGGGAAGAGGGCAGGGAGCATCACAGTGGGGATGGGGCTGGGGGGCACGCAGTCCCCTCGCTGCCTGGGCTCTAGGGAGGTGGGGGGACATGGCGGGGACATGGGGGCTCTTCTTGGCTCTGCCAGCAGCGGGGTGAAGTTATTTCAACATGGTTTCACATCTTGCCTTCCTGTACCCCTTCAGCTGCTGAATGGTGGGGAGGGATGAAGGGTTGAAGGCTGGAAAAGCCCCTTTCTCCTCAGGCCTGCCCATCACGCTGCCAGGCTGTGGGCAGGGACGGTTTCTTCCAACCGGTGACTTGCGATGGACGGAGGGATGCTGAGGCTCAGACTTCACGGCTGAGCTTCCAGCTCCTGCTCGAGGGCTAGACTCGGGGGGGGCACAGGGGTCATGGGGACAGCAGCACCGCACTCACTTGTAGACGTCGTTCTCGATGGGCAGCAGGTCGTAGCTCATCGCCTGGAAGGTCAGCTCGTGCAGCACCGGGGAAGCGGGGTCGAAGCCGCGGTCCAGGATGAGGAGCTGGGAGCGAGCCTTGTCTGGACCCTGCAGACCCGGGAGGAGCCGTCAGCAGGGGGTTGGGGGCTCCTCCAGCCCTGCAGGCAGTTGGGAGAAGCGATCTCGGGGTCCGGGACTGCCATGTGGCAGAGCTCGAGCAGGACTTTCAGAGCAAAGCATCACCCAAGCGTCTTCCCCCGCGGCTGCCGGCACAGTCCCTGCTCACCTCGCCCATGGTGGGGTCGTCAGCCTTGTAGGCGTCCAGCTTGTCCTGGATGAGCTGGGCCAGCATGGCGTTGTCCTTGTAGTCCCTGGAGGAGGTGGGAGGAGAGGTCAGCTCCCCGGGGTGGCTGGCTGTCCCCGGCATGGGATGGGCACGAGCTGCTGGTTTCCGCAGGAAACGTCGCTGGCTCACGGGAGAGGAGGGACCTGAGCAGGTTTTGTTGCCCATTTCCACCTCCCCTTGGGATGCTCCGCTTGGATTTCAGGCTCCCAACCCTCCCCTCCGCTCTGCAGAGCATCTTCAGGTCTGGGCCTGTTTTCATGCTGAGCGCGGGCGTCTGTCCATCCCACCCCCTCCCTCCCCACGCCCTCACCAGCGCCGGGCACAGCACGGCCTCGTCCACGGCCCCGGCTCCAAAAAAAGGGGCAGAGGGCAGGTCCGGGGGGTGCCGACCGCGCTGCCCTTACCCCCTGTACCGCACGGCCGGGTACTCCTTCAGCGTGGCACACAGCGTGGCGATCTGCTCTGCCAGGCGCTCCAGGATCGGGTTCTTCATCTGCGCCTTGTGCGGGCTGTAAAAGCTTTGGAAGGAGTCGGCCGAATCCAGGGAGTAAACCTGGGGGGTGCGGCGGGAGGGGGGGGGGAGGGGGAGCGATCCGAGGGAG